CAATGTCCAAATCCATGTTATGGAAGGCTCTTCATGATTTGGCCTTCCCTGCCCCTCCATAGCCAGCTCTCACTGTATCCCAAAGTACTCTTGACTTTCACCTCATCAAATAGAAGCACCAAGTAGTTTCATGCTTCCTTGACTTGGTTCTTCCTGCAGCCTCAGCCTAGAATATAACTGTCAAACCTACCTCCTGATTACTTCTCTTCTTTATCGGCACAACCTCTGTAAAGACATTCCTTACCCACCCTCATCTTTTCCCATAGACATTACTACTCCCTCCACTTACTTTCCCTGTAATCTTATCCAGTTTTTTCACAATATTTATAATGCTTCAATATATTTGGATCACACATCTATTTTGATCAAGGACACAGGTTTTGTTTTTTCTCCAAGCCCAGCATATAGTGTGCCAAGCCACGTGGTAAGTGCTGAATAAATATTTATGGAATAAATAAATGGGGGAAGTTGGCAGTGATCCTATAAAGCCTGACTACTTTGCCTCTACATTACAGGAATCATTTCATCAGGCCGAGTAACTTCTCCACCTCTGACTGCCACATTCAGGCCTACTGAAGCCCCCTCAGAGAAAACAGAGACAGATGAAAAGCAACCAACTGTTCCTGCCTCAGGAGAAGATCTTGGTTAGTATGTCAGTCACTTCCCACTAGATGCTTAACTATGAAGTACTAAAAGATTTCAAATTAGGGGGAAAAGAGTCTTAGTTCTGGATTATCGAATTATTTCAATTTTTTTATTAATATGTCTTTTTAATTTTTGCAATTATACTTAAGTTTAATGCTATGAGATAGAATATGGTCCTTCACTCCACAGACATAGAATAAAGTACCCAATATTTTTGGAAAAGTCTTCCTGAAAAGATATAAATTACCCAATGCTTCTTACTAAATCAAATGTAATTATTAATCATATGTATCTTAATTAATGAGTATTGGCTACTTTAATCTTTAAATCATTATTGAGTACACTCCAGAACACCTGCAGCAGGACACAATTAAAAGCCTTTTATTGTGGATAATATGTATAATAATAATAAAGGAAATCAAAATTGCAGGCATCTGACTAGGAGGCATTATTAAATATTTATAATCTTTAATACTTTTTCATTTTATTGAGAAGCTTTTTTATATCTTTCTAAAATTATTTATTATCTTGTATTCTCAGGTAATGTAACTGACTTTAGCTCAAGTCCAACAAGAGAAACTGATCCTCTTGGGAAGCCCAGATTCAAAGGTGTGTATGATTGGCTCCAAATCTCAGTTTTGACAAGGCTGTCTTTGATGGGAGTATCACTTGGCTTTTGCTGTGTAAAACTGAAAAATCTTAGTAGCATGTTCTAATAAGGATTTAGTTCTCATGTGTCTGCAAGTCACCTGAGGGTCAGCTGATCTAGCTATTCTTGACTGGATGGTTCTGCCTCCAGCATCAGATACAGCTGGGCTTCCTATGTCTTGGGCTCAGATCTGCTCCACATTTTTCATTTTGGTGCTCAGGATGAAAGACCAACAGTGACTCAGGAGAAGCCATTCTAATGACAATACAAAGTCAAGAGTGGAGAGTTCAAATACAGCATTTTAAGCTCCTCTGTGTTTTACACCTGCCAATATTCAATGGCTAAAGAAAGTCACATAGCCAAGCTCAAATCAAAGATTGGGAAAGTATACTCCTTCCATGGATATAGAGAATATTTTTGAACAGTATCAAATCTACCACAGTAAGAAAGCTATAATATGATATAGAGCCTGGTATTTCCTTTTATAATGTTTTTCTCAAGTGTAAGATGTGATAAATTTTAACATATGTATACACTCATGAAACCATCATTGTAATCAAGATAATAAATACATGTACCACCTCCAAAAGTTTCATCATGTACTTTTATAATTCCTCCATCTCACTCCTCCCACCAAATTTCTAGTTTCTAGATAATCACAGATCTGCTGTACTAAAAATATATATCCATTTTGTGGATTTTTATATAAAGAAAGGATACGATACGAACTTTTTTTGGTCTGGCTTCTTTGACTCAGCATAATTATTTTAAGGTTCATCCATGTTGAAACGTGTAGCAACAGTTTATTTCTTTTAATCCTGACTGGTATTCTATTGAATGGATATATATAATTATTTATTAAACCTATTCATGACATTGAGGTTTTTTCTAATTTTCTTATATTACCAATAAAGCTGCCATAACTCTTAAAGTACAAGTGTTTATATGGATATGTGCTTTCATTCCTTTTGGATGAATGCTGACAAGAGCAATGGCTAGATGATATAAGTGTACATTTAACATTTTAAGAAACTACCAAACTGTTTTCCACAGTAGTTGTACTATTAGCCTTTCTGTCAACAGTATATGAGAGTTTGAATTCCTCCACATCTTTGCCAACATTTAGGACAGTCTTTTTAATTTTAGTCATTTTAATAGGTGTGTAGTAGTTTCAAATTGTGATTTTACTTTGTGTATCTCTAATTACTAAGCATCTTCTCATGTGCTTATTTGCCATCATTTTGGTCGTGTCCCATTTTTTTGTCCATTTTGTTTATAACCTTGCTTATTTTCTTGTTGTTGAGTTTTGACGGTCTTTGTTTTCTGGGTAGAATACCTTTTCAGATACATGCTTTACAAATATTTTTTCCCAGTGTATACCTGCTCTTTTTTAATTTTAATAAATCTTAGTTTATTAATTTGGCTTTTTATATGTTGTATTTTTGGTGTTGTACTTAAGAAATAACTGGCCAGTTGGAGGTCATAAAGACCTCTATTTCCTTCTAGAAGTTTCTCTGCTGTTTCCTTCTAGAAGTTTTCTTTTAAATTTAGGTCTATGATCCACACTGTGTCACATTTTGTATATGATACAAGGTGTGAATACCAATTCGTTTCCTTGCTAATGGATATAGAATTGTTCCAGCATCATGTGTTGAAAAAACTATTCTTTCCACTGAATTTCATTTGTACTTTTATCAAAAATGAATTGTACATATATATGTGGAACTCTTTTTAGCTCTCTAGTCTGTTGCATTGATCTGTTTATCTGCCTTTACATCAATACCACCATGTTTGTGTTACTGTGGTAGTGGTATTGTATTGGTGACTCTGGGTCCTCTGTATCTCCGTATAAATTTTAGAATCAGCTTATCAATGTCCAAGAATAGCCTGGTTAGATTCTTACTAGAATTGAATTGAGCCTATAGATGAATTGGGAAAAATTGAGAGCTGTACAACACTTAGCTTTCCTATTTATGAACATGGCATATTTTATTTAGGTCTTTGATTTCTATAACCAATGTTATTTAAATTTCAGTACACAGAAAACCATTAAAATAGTATTTTTTATTTCAGTTTCCAATTGTTCATTACTACTATATAGAAAAATTTATGTTTATACAGTGATCTTATATCCTGCAACCTTGTGAAACTCAGTAGCTTTTATGTAGGTCAATTAGATTTTCTACATACAAAATCATGTCATTTGAGAGTGACATTTTACTTCTTCCTAACATGGGTTCCTTTTTCCTTGCCTTATCATACTGGCAAGAACTTCCAATAAAACACTGAATAGATACAGTGGGGAATGGACATCCTTTTCTTATTCCTGGTCTTATGGAAAAAACATACAGCCTTTCACCTGAATATAGTATGATGTTACCTTGTAGGCTTTTCATACATGCTCTTTATTGTGTTGAGAAAATTCCCTTCTATGCCTACTTCGGTGATAACTATTATCAGAAACGAGAGCTAGATCATGTCCAATGATTTTTCTGCCTTTATGAAGATGATTATGTTTTTCTTTATTAGTTTGTTAATACAATGAAATAATTACTTTTGAATTTTTAACTTTGCATTCCAGGCACAAACTCCATGGTCATAATGTATTCTCATTTTAATATATTGCTGGATCTCATTTGCTAAAATTTTGTTGAGAATTGTATTCAGTGAAAGATAGTGGTACTGTAGTTTTCTTTTTTTGTAATAGGTCATGTTTTAGTCTCAGTATAATGCTGAACTCTCCTTTTCACTTTTCTGAAAAAATTTAGAATTGGTATTGCTTCTTCCCTGAATGTTTAGTAGTATTTACCAATGAAACCATCTGAGCCTCATATTCTCTTTGTTGGAAGGATTTTATGTATAATTCACTTTCTTTAATGGGTGTAGAGCTATCCAGAGTATTTTTTCTTCCCTAGTGAGTTTCGGTAACTTTTGTCTTTCAAGTTATTAGTTAATTTCATCTAAGTTGTCAAATTTATTGGTATAAGGTTCTTAATATTCTCATATTGTTTGTTATTTTAATAGCTGTAGAATTCTTAGTGATATCATCTCATTCCTGTTACTGATGATGTGTGTCTTTTTTTTCTCTTTTGCCTAATCAATCTTGCTGTAGGTTTATTAATTTATTGATCTTCTGAAAAAGTCAAATTTGTGTTTCATTAATTTTGTCTATTTACTCTGATCTTTATTTTTTTTCTTCTGCTTAATGTAGTTTAATTTGTTCCTCTATTTCCTTAAGGTGGAATATGGGCTCATTGATCTAGAACCTCTCTTCTTTATTATGGCATTTAGTGCTACAAATTTTCCCCTAGATATTATTTAAGCAGTATCCAAACGTTTTTGATATGTTGTATGTTTATTTTTACTCTGTTCAAAATACTTTTTAACTTCCTTTTTGATTTGTTCTTTGACTCATTGATTATTTAGAAATATGTAATTTAATTTCTAAATATTTTGAGATTTTCTAGAGATTATTCTGTTACTGACTTCTAATGTATCTCCATTGTTGTCACATGCTCTGCCAGATACCTAAATCCTTTTAAATTTATTGAGACTTTTTTATGGCCAGGGTATGATCTATTTTGGTATATGTTCTGTGTGTACTTGAAAAGAATGTGTATTCTGCTCTTCATAAAAGCAATGTTGTATTCATTTGCGAGGGTTGCCATAAGAGAATGCTACAGACATGGTAGCTTAAACAACAGAAACTTATTTTTCTTATTTTCCAGAAACTTAAGTTCTGGAAGCCAGAAATCTGAAATCAAGGTATCATCAGATTTGGGTTGTTTTGAAGACTTGGATTGCAGATGGCCACCTTCTCACTATGTCCTCATATGTACTATCCTCTGAATGCACACATCCTTCATGTCTTTTCCTCTTTTTTTTTTTTTTTTTTTTTTTTTTTTTTTTGAATTACCTAATTAATTTATTTTTTAATTTACATCCAAATTAGTTAGCATATAGTGCAACAATGATTTCAGGAGTAGATTCCTTAATGCCCCTTACCCATTTAACCCATCCCCCATCCCACAAGCCCACGAACAACCCTCTTTGTTCTCTATATTTAAGAGTCTCTTACGTTTTGTCCCTGTCCATGTTTTTATATTATTTTTGCTTCCCTTCCCTTATGTTCATCTATGTTGTATCTTAAATTCCTCATATGAATGAATTCATATGATATTTGTCATTCTCTGAATAATCTCACTTAGCATAATACCGTCCAGTTCCATCCACATAG